ATATAACAAAACTCAAAAATATTTAGATTAATTTTAGTTGATTTCACTTTTTCTTAATAAATTAAAGAAAACTCATAAAAATATTTTATTCAAAAATTCAAAAGCAATTTTTATTTAATCTGACTTTTTTTAAGCTCTTTTAGATAAGTTAAGTTGATTGCGTTAATTAATCTTTTTTTTCTTTTCTGTTTTCACTTAATCATAATTTTCATAAAAAAAATAACAAAAACAATTTCACCAATTACACTTAATCTTTCCCCATCACAATCATTATTTAACATTATGTCTCGATTTCCATTCAACTGCTACTCATACTCGCCGTACGATATTTGCATATTTCATCACTTATTTACATTTTCAATTATTCATCCGCTTTACCGCTTATCCCCTCCGAAGGAAAAGTTTACCGTTTTACCCCCGTGTCAATGCCTTTACCCTCACCATAGCCTTAGGGTTCGAGTCCCTGTACCCACCTTTTAGGCGTCCCATCGTGGATATTCCTCTTTTATCCCAGCCTTAGGATTTGAGTCGCCGTACTCATGCTTAGGCGTTCCGCTGTGGACATACCTTTTCAATTCAACTTTCCAATGTAGATTCGGAGTCCCCACACTCCAAGTAAGCACTTCCCTATGAACACTTATTCCCCCCTAGAACCTTGACCACAGTCAAGAGGTTCCTCTTTCTCCCTCTGTGAGGGGAACTACAAATACTCTGATTCCATTCCCGTCAGGATATGTAGGCACAAGATGCGACGTCTTGGCGAGTATACTTAGAATTAAACCACTAGGTCTTTCACCTTTAAGCAGATAACCCATAACAATAAACACAATAAAATAAGAGGTTCCTGTAGAGTACTACAGAAACTTAGGATGCTAGCATCTTCCCTAAGTTTAACCAACCCCCGAACCTATAACTCTCTAGCTTTTGCATTTGCATTGCATTGTGGGTAATTCGATCTTTTTCCCTTCCTTTGGACAAATTAAAGACCGATTGTAATGAATTAAGGTTCAAGCTAATCAATAACTTGGTATCCAATTTTCACCGCAACAACATAGTGGAATGGGATGCTTTGGAGAAAATTATGAAGGAGATGAACTTTCCTGACAAATTCATTAACTGGATTATGATGGATGTCAGATTAGTTTGTTATAGATACTTGATTAATGGCCAGGTGAGTAATATCCTACAAGTTGAAAGAGGTTTGAGACAAGGTGATCCGATCTATCCTCTTCTATTTGTCTTAATCATGGAATATCTCCATAGAAGCTTAGTTTCTTTACATGACATACCTAGTTTCAACTATCACTCTAAATGTGATAAGCTCAAGATCACCAATGTATATTTTGCTAATGATCTCCTCCTTTTCACCAGGGGTGATGAGATTTCTGTGCAGCTCCTTATGAATGTATTTATGCAATTTTTTGAGGCAACGAGACTTAGGGCTAATCCTACAAAATGTAAGGTATATTTTAGTGGGACAAATGTGTGGGATCAGTAGAAAATACTGCATCTCACAGGTTTTGTGGAAGTCCAACTACCTTTTAAATATCTTAGTGCTCCTCTGTCTAGCAGGAAACTCACTAGTAATCAGTGCCAACCTCTTCTTGACAAAATGTTGGCAAAAATTCAACATTGGACAACCAAGCTGCTTAAATATGCAGGTAGATGTCAACTAGTGAAAAGTGTTTTGATGGTTGTGTCATGCTATTGGATGCATATTTTTCCCATCCCAAAGAAGATTATCAAACAACTAGAAGCAATTTGTAGAAACTTCCCGTGGTCTGGAAAGGCTACAGGAAGAAAGTCTTATGTGGATTGGGAGAAAGTGTGTGATACAAAAAACTCAAGGGGGCTTAATTTAATTTCCCTGGTTAATTGGAACAATGCTACCTTACTCAAAATTATTTGGAACATGCATATAAAGGCAGGCAAATTGTGGATAAGTTGGATGGACACTTATTTTATGAAAGGTGAACCTGTTATGAATTGGCAGCCCAATACCACTACATTTTGGATAATGAAAATTATTGTCAAGAGTAGAAAGTTGGTGAGCTGCAGTGAGTATGTGAACACTAGCGTTTAATAGGGGAATTTTAAGACAACTGGTATGTATTGAGAGCTTCGTGGAGAAGGTACCCCTGTCACATAGAAATATGTTTTCATGAATAATCATGTAAGGTCTATATCAAGATTCAATTTATGGTTGGTGATGCATGGAAGACTACCAACCAAAGACAGAATGACTAGATTTAGAGTGACTACTGATGGAAAATGTTGCTTCTGTCACCATTAGGAAACTCTAGACCATTTATTTTTTGACTGTAGGTACTCGAGGGAAATTTGGTCGAACCTACTGCAGTGGAATGGTTATACGAGAGAGGTAGAAAATTGGAATACTGAAAGTACATGGCTCATCAATGAAACATCGAAAAAAGGGCGGAGAAGAGACATATTGAAGATGTTGATTGCGGAAGTAACATATCACATACGTCAAACTATAAACAACATAATTTTCAAGCAAAACAACCTCAATCCTGATATCATTAAATAGATTAAATCCACTGTGTTGTTAAGGGGTAGTACACATAGGAAGCTTAGAAAGCATATGAACATGTATAGTCTCAGTCTAAAGTAATCTGTTAGCCGTGGTTGTTTAGTTTTTTGTTGTTTCATGCTTTGTTTGGTGACCTAGATTATATAGATCAACTTTGTACTTATTGATTTTTTGGAATATAAGTTCTCCTTTTCTAAATTTTTTTTCTGCTCCGTTTAATTTCTAAACAATAGAATGCGATATTAGTCTATCTTTATTGTAAAATATACGAACAATGAAATATAATTTATGTTCCGGCCCGTTCCATTCCGCTCAGTGGCGAATTCATAAATTTTCTATAGTGGGGGCTAAAAAATAATAGATATATTTTGACTAAAGAAAAATATTACAAATTGTTCCAAAATACATACTATAACGACAAAAAGAATTAAAATACATAAGTGCTTACAATTGTCCTCTACGAGTTTTCATATTTTGAAAATGTTCAATGATTTTTTCATTTTTCGCATTATCAAATATGTCACTCTCTATATATGTACCTAAACAATCATTCAACTACTCATCTCCTATACGATTGCACAAGCCATTCTTCACAAAATTCATGGCAAGAGAAAGATCTCTCAACAGTTACAACTGCCACGTGTAAAATCAAAGCTAACCTCACAAGTAATCATTGTATACACAATATGCTTTCTAGTTTTCACAAACATTTCAAAATGATCGATGATTCCATTTAACTTTGAAAATTAATCATCAAATCAAAGATTTGTGATAAAAGTCTCAAGCTAACTATCAAGCACCATAAGCTCCACATGAGAAAATTATGGATGATGAAATGAAGATGTATCCTTATGCCACCGCTTAACAAAAGAAGATAACAATGGAACGTCAAACATACTAAGCGAACAATCCACCAACAATAGTAGACCAACATCACCTACAAGTGTTCTAACCTCCTTCGGCACATGCATTGCCGCAAATATCTTCAACTTCTGACCACGAGCTTCAATGGGTCGCAGTCTTGTAACAATAAAAGCATAAACCGTTGGTTACTATTAATTAACCATTAATATGTAAAATCATATTGAATTAAAATATTTATACATCTCCCTGCCATAATATAAAGACAATGTGATTGACATACCCATTCCACAATGTAAGGTTGAATGGTGTTTTGAGAAATTGCTCATTTGCGGGACCATCACCACCATCATTTGTATCAGCCTAATCTAACACTCCCGCATGCGCCTTTCAATCAACATAATCAATCACAACAACCCCTGCCTCCTAATCACCACTTTTGGAGCGACTAACTCTAACTCTTTTATGACAAATAATACATGATTTGTAAGACTTTTCAATCCTCATGCAGTGAGAACCAATGAGAGCTACTCTACTGATTCTAATGCGTGCGTGACCTTCCCCGCCATCTCTGTTATTACCACATAGTGACTGCTTATACCATTATGCACTTACTAAATTATTTTAGGATTTTCTTTTGCATTTATTAGAATTTTCTGATAAAAAATCAATGATTTTTGGAAAAATTTGAGGTAATATTAGAATTTTCGAAAAAAAAATCCTAAAATTTCAAATATTTTTCACACTAATGAAAAAATTGAAAATTTCCATAAACTATCACACTTTTTGAAATTTCCAATCAACTAAAACACTTTTTGAAATTTTCAATAATATTAAATTTTGTTCTCTTATTGAATTGAACTACTTTAAAAAAACCGAAAAAATAAAGAAAATACCGAATTTATGAAATAATTTAGTATGCTAATTTAAAAAAAAAGCCTGATAAAAAATTTATACTAACAATTTAAAAATAAAATACTAAAAATTTGATCTATTATAAAAAATTTTAAATGAATTAACGAAAATTTCATTGGTGGCTATAGTTTAAAAATTATAAAAATACATGAGGTTTTTAGTTGAAGGGTGACAAATTAAATGTTCCAATTTAAATCTATGCATATACATCATATTTTTATGAATATGTTAAAAATCTAGTATTAACTTATCAAAAAGAAAAAAAAATGCTTACTTGTGAATATCAAATAATCTCTTAAAAATATCAAAATTTTACTATCTACATTCAAAAAACAAATTGAAATTTATTTTTATAATTTCACTTATTTTTGTTAAAAAAAACATTTTAATCAAATCATCTCATAAAATAAAATAAATCTCTCTGTAATAAAATAAAATAAATCTCATACAAATAAATACTCTCTTAAAAGAAACCCCAACGTAATCACTATGAATATTCGTGCAGTTGAACTCGTTCCCACTCCACCTACATCACCCAGTTATTTTTTGACTCTTTGTATCTCCTACGGTTTTTCTTGCGCGTATATTTCCCAGGTAAACCATTCCTTTTTATCACAAATTCAACCAAATCCATATTCTTCCAAACCCTAAAATTCGAACCCTTCCACCAATGTCCACCACTGATTCCATTCCGAACCACAAACTCTGTGGTTTTCTCTCCACCGTTCTCACACTCGCTCCTCCGCACAATCCCAACGACGCGCGTTTCAACGACCGCTGCGAGATCTTCAACGACGGAGCCTCCACCGGATTTCGTACTCAAAACGGCGTTGTTTTGATCCCTATCGTTGATTCGGAACAATGCAAGAGTCCGAAGGGGAAGAGGAAGAAGATTGGGATGGTGAATGGGAGCTTCAGCGTTGTTCATCAGCTTTATGCGTTGGGTGTTCGGAGATGTTTGGAGATTGATGCTCGTGTGTTGTGTGTTGTGGAGGTTTTGGACAGGGTTAGGGTTGTGGTTCTTGTTGATGTTTATCTTCCGGTTCAGGTTTGGTCTGGCTGGCAGTTTCCGAAATCTGGTTCTGTTGCTGGCGCGGTTTTTCGTCATGTGAGGTTTGCTTTTATCGTCGTTTTGCGTTGATTTAAGTTAGGTTTTGATTTTCTGCTTGGAATTCTATAATGTTGTGTTTATTTTAGGGAAATTGTTCTGTACCAATGTGATTTACTTGTAACTTACGAAGATTGCAAATTGGAGAGACACATTTGAGAATATTTATAATGAATACATAGTTATGAGTTACACTAGCAAACGCAAGCCTATTTCATTTAGGAGCAGTGATGTCAATCCCATATCCTATGAAGCACAAAAACCTCTAGGAGTAGACGTGTCGTATTGTCGGCCCGGTGTCGGTGTCCAACACTTTATGACACTCATACGACATGTGTTGGAAAAGTCAAGTGTCCTTTAAAAATAGTTCATTTTCTTTGCTGACACCCGAATGACCCTCGTACAACACGTGTCAGATAATTCAGATAGATATTTCAAAACACCTTATACATTTTATTGGACAAACCTCACACACATCTAAAAAGGGTCAAACATTGAAGCAATAGTATCAATGAATAATTAAAGGTATTCATCTTGATTAGAATATTTTAAACTCTTTTATTATTGGATGGATAAATAAAACTTAAATACTAATATATATGTAGCGGCGTCGGTCTTCTATGTTTTTGGCATCATAGGTGTTGGAGTGTCCGTGTTGTGTCGTGTCCCGGTCCGTGTTGAAATCTGTGCTTCGTAGCCCATAACTAAGAAGATAACAATCCCATATCTAAGAAAATAACTGATAATTCGAAATCTGCTATGCAACAACGCCATAGTGCCAATAGGATTGCTGATGATAACATTTTGTACTTAATAGTCTAATTTGGAACAACAGTGATTTGTTCAGATTCTGCTAGGTTAGCGCCGTAATAGTTGCTTTTTAACAATATTATTTGAGTCTATCAAATATAAGTGCGATTACTTGATTTAGTGACGGCTATTTGATTTTCAACCAATAGGAGGTAGCGTGTTGTTAGTATTCTTCTAGTTATATTCTTCCCTTATTAAATTTACTAGTTGAGAGAACGTGAGCTTAGATACTGTGCCATGTTAGGTTGGCTAATCACTGTTTTCTACTCTAATTATGAGGTTCCTTGCTAAAGAGGGTGCTAATGAATGAATCAGAAAATGGAAAATATTTATTGAGAAGTACATTTTTAATAAATTTGTTTGATATCTTAAAGTTTGTACTTTTCGCTGAATGCTTTTCATTTTGATTCTTTAATCCTTGTTCTCCTGGTCGTCTTTCGCAATTACTCCATCCTAAGGATTAATAACTCCGTATATTGGCGTGCTTTATTTCTCCAAGTTGTCTGGTTTTAATGGTCAGAGCGTGTGACTTCAAATAGAATGAATCATATAAATTAATTTAGCTAAAAGGTAATCCGCCGGACTAAGGATAAAGTGCAAATGAGAGTGATATATTACCATATTCTTGACTCTTGTAACTTTTAATCTAAAAGGTAAAAGCTTTCATCAATGCTTAAAGTTTATATATTGACAAAACTACAGAGTTTATGTCCACTGATTCTCATCATATCAGTTTTCTAGTCAAAGTTTTGGAGGGAAGTTAAAATATACTTTCTTAAGTGGGTTCACTGTTTCAAATTTATAATTCAATCGAACTTGATTCCGCCTCTAACTTGGTCATGCTATAATGGTGTTCTAGGCTCTAGCTAGTCGCTGACCAGTAGTATTCTTAAAAGTGTGTTGTTTTGTAATAATATATAATTTGACTGATATCTTGTGTCATTTTCCTTTGTGAATATACTTTATACCTTTGGCTTTGACCATCATAGTTTTCTAACAGTTAAGAGCCTATGCAGGTGTGATTGGGATGAGAGAAGATCAATGCTTTCTGATTCAGACTACTGTAGGAAGACTCATGGAGAAAATGAGAGCATTTGGAACCTTTCTGTTTGCCATGTACTTGATTGCAAGCTCCATTCCTCTGTGAGAGATTCTTCAAGGGAAATGCTATTTGAACTGCATGAAATTTTTAAGACAGTACCTTCACCTTGTATAGGAAAAAAGCAACAGAATATTTCCAAGATAATACCTATGGACAACACTTGCAAATCTGGGATTTGGGAGATCTCTGATGATATTTTAATTAAAATTATATCTTCCCTGGGTCCACTGGACCTCACTAGGGTTTCTGGAACGTGTCAACATCTAAGATCCTTGGCTGCTACAGTAATGCCTTGTACAAAGTTAAATCTGTTTCCTCATCAGCAGGCAGCAGTTGAGTGGATGTTGCACCGTGAGCGAAATGCTGAACTTTTGCTACATCCTTTATATGTAGCTCTTTCAACTGACGATGGCTTTAGTTTTCATGTAAATACTGTATCTGGTGATATAGTCATTGGGGAAGCTCCTACCATCAAAGATTTTCGCGGAGGAATGTTTTGTGACGAGCCTGGCTTGGGTAAGACTGTAACAGCTCTTTCTCTTATCACAAAGACACAAGGTACGTTGGCGGATCCACCAGATGGGCCACAAGTAGTCTGGTGTCAACATAGCTCTACCCAAAAATGTGGCTATTATGAGATCAGTGGTAATAACATCACTAGTTGTACTATCTTGGGTAAGAGGGATGTGTGCCAAAATAATGAGAACCATGGTTACTCCTCAAAAAGAGCCATGTTGTTAAATCCTTGTCAGGAAATCACTAAACCTCATGAATCATGTTCTGTAGGTGAAGACAAATCACCTGTAGATGTCTGCTTTGAGGAATATACACCTGCTAGTCGAGGCACTAGAAGCTTCAGCCGAGTAACGAAAAATCTACATTTCACATATGACGAGGATGCTATGATTTTCGAAGAAAGAAGAGTTGGTAAAAGACCAATTAAAACAAAACATGCATCGGATGTCGCATCCCAAATGTCTCAAAACAAGCTTGTTGGTTCTTCTAATGTTAGTGGGCAGAGTTACAAGTGGCACAGGAAGCGTAAAGCTGATTGTTTGGAATATAGTGATAATTGGATTCAGTGTGACGCATGTCACAAATGGCGAAAACTTGTAGACAATAGTTTGGATAATTCTAGTGCAGCATGGTTTTGTAGTATGAACACTGACCCTTCATATCAGAGTTGTAGAGTCCCAGAGCAGTATATTCAGAATAGCTGTGAGATAACTTACTTGCGAGGATTTCATTTGAAAGGAACTCCTGGAGGTGAGAAACAAAACATTTCATTTTTCACCAGTGTGCTTAAGGAGCACTCTTCATTGGTGAATTCTCAGACAAAGAAGGCCCTGATTTGGTTGACCCAAATTTCGATGGACAAGCTTGCAGTAATGGAAACAAATGGTATACGGGGTCCTATTTTAAACAACTGCACTTTGTCTAATGGGACTTTGAATCCATACCACAAAATATTTAAAGCATTTGGCCTCATAAAGAGAGTAGAGAAAGGTGTATGCAGGTGGTTCTACCCACAAAATCTTAGCAACTTGACTTTTGATGTGGCTGCCCTTGGCATGGCTCTATGTGAGCCATTAGATTTGGTTAGGTTATACTTGTCCAGAGCAACCTTGGTAGTTGTTCCTGCAAACTTGATCGATCATTGGAAAGCACAAATAGAAAAGCATGTTAGTCCTGGTCAATTGCAGGTTTATGTTTGGAAAGATCATCAGAAACCATCTGCACACTCTCTTGCCTGGGATTATGATGTTGTCATCACTACATTTAGTCGTTTGAGTGCAGAGTGGGGGCCACGTAAGAGGAGTGCTCTAATGCAAGTGCATTGGTTTAGGATAATTTTAGATGAGGGGCATACTCTTGGCTCAAGTCTGAGCTTAACAAACAAGTTACAAATGGCTATTTCACTGGTTGCTTCAAATCGATGGATACTAACTGGAACTCCAACACCTAACACTCCTAACAGCCAACTTACGCATCTACAACCATTGCTAAGGTTCCTTCATGAAGAAGCTTATGGGCTGAATCAAAAGTCATGGGATGCCGGCGTGCTTAGGCCGTTTGAGGCAGAGATGGAAGAAGGCCGATCTCGTCTGTTGAATTTACTTCAGAAATGCCTTATTAGTGCTAGAAAGGTAGATTTACAAAGTATTCCACCATGCATCAAGAAAGTTGTTTTACTAGATTTTAACGAGGAACATGCTAGAAGTTACAATGAATTGGTACTCACTGTTCGGCGTAATATATTGATGGCTGATTGGAATGACCCTTCACATGTGGAGAGTCTACTGAATCCAAAACAGTGGAAATTTCGTAGTGAAACTTTAAAAAATGTCAGGCTTTCATGCTGTGTTGCTGGCCATATTAAAGTTACACACGCTGGAGAAGATATTCAGGAAGCAATGGATCTGTTAGTACAAAATGGTTTAGATTCTACTTCAGGGGAGTATACCTCCATAAGATACAGTCTCCTGTATGGCGGTCACTGTGTCAGGTAATACTTGAATTTTGATATTTCTGTTGCTTTAATTTTCTTCAGGTCATAGTCGCTTATTGTCACCATCATAATTTATAACCAATGTTTAATGAATTGCGTAGGTGCAAGGAATGGTGCCGCCTTCCTCTCATTACTCCATGTCGACATCTGTTGTGCCTTGGTTGTGTTTCCTTAGACAAGACAAAATGTACATATCCTGGCTGTGATAACTTATATGAGATGCAGAGTCCTGATACAATGGCACGGCCAGAAAATCCTGAACCAAAGTGGTCTGTACCGAAAGATCTTATTGAGTTACAGCCTTCATACAAGCAGGCATGGTTTCTAATTGAGAATCAGTTGACATTTAGTTGCATTTTTTGTTTATTATTTTGAAGTTTTCATCGTGCTAAACATGTGCTGTTGATTGTGGAATGAACAGGATACATGGGATCCCGATTGGCAATCTACATCTAGTAGTAAAGTTGCATATCTTGTTCAGAGGTTGAAAGCTTTGCAAGGAACTAATGAAGAAATGAGTTCATATATAGACAGTAGCAATAATGAGATGCATATTGAGAATAGTTTTCCTTTGCACACAAGACATGCCGAATCATCATTCCAGGAATGTTCTACAAGTAGAACAAGCACCAAGGTGCTCCCTGAAAAAGTCTTGATATTTTCTCAGTTTCTTGAGCATATAAATGTCATTGAACAGCAGGTGCTTTTTGTGTACCAAGTGTGACCATTTGTAAACCTACAATATTTTATCCTATTGCAAATGATTAAACTATTAACTTAAATTTCTTTTTTTCCAGTTGACTGTTAATGGTATCAAATATACTGGAATGTATAACCCAATGCATTCTACCCACAAGGTATAAAGTTGGAACTCTCATGTTCTTATTTGCGTTTTCTGAACATATAAATATACCATAAGAAATCATTAGCAATGTTCCAGCATGATTCATGTTGCATGGCACCTCTGATCTTGTTGCATAAGAAATTTACTTTTGTCTTAACACAGAAAAAGTCATTAGCCATGTTCCAGCATGATTCAAGTTGTATGGCACTTCTGATGGATGGGAGTGCTGCATTGGGTCTTGATTTGAGTTTTGTTACACATGTATTTTTAATGGAGCCAATTTGGGACAGAAGGTTAGTACATTAAATCAATTCATGTTTTGCCCAATTTGCGAACACTCCTACTTTGACTAAAATTTCCATTCTTGTCCAATTTGATTTTCTTCTAACTTGAGTAAAACCTTATCAGTATGGAGGAGCAAGTAATTAGTCGTGCTCATCGTATGGGTGCTTCTCGTCCTATTCACGTGGAAACATTAGCAATGCGTGGTACAATTGAAGAGCAAATGCTAGAATTTTTACAGGTGAATCTCTATTACTTTGAACTTGATAACATCATCCTAATTTAGTTTTAACCTGTACTGCTCCGTTTCTTTGAATGACTTGTTATTTGGTACGGTCATTGAATTTTTTTCCTTGTACTGCTATCCCATTTCTTTTCCTAATTATTCATGCTTCTATTTCTTGATGCTCAACTAGGATGCTGATAAACGTAGAAGAGTTCATAATAAAGATGTTAAATCTGAAGATGGCACAGGACGGGGACATAGATCGGTGCATGATTTTGCTGAAAGCAATTATTTACTGGAACTTAAATTTGTATAAACTAATTCAAAAACTCGAGGGTTTCTACGAGGTGGTTTTTTTCCATTGATATTTTTGCTAAGAAAAACAAGTTCGCAGGGTGATGAGTTATGAGTTTTTACCTATTATTCTAATTTTCCCAGTAAACAAAAATTTGCAGGATAAGTCATGTTGCATTTCGGGAAGTAGAGATACAAGTGATTTTTGTCGACAATTCTTTGGAACTGTTTATTTGGAAGTGACGAAGATGGTGGCATTTTACTTCGATTTCTGTTTGAGTTTTGTATAGTGATTAATTATGTTGATTACTATCATTGAATTTCATTTACTGAAAAATCATAACTAATTGTAGTTAGAGTAATTAATTGAGTTGAAATATCATAAATAAGGGTGTTATACTTGATATATTCTAAAAGAACAAATAGTGTAAGATAAATAAAATCGTAAAAGGGGCAGTAAATATGAGATGAAGAAGGCAGGAATATTTTTATGTCTCGACGAGTGTCTCGTAAACACTCTTTAAAGATTTGAAACATATAAAAAGTTTTTTTAAAAAATAATCATTTTAATTTTCAAAATATTAAATATACAGGTTTCTATTTTTAATTTTGAGGCCTTAAAGAAGTTCCGGAGCATTCTTTAGCCTTCTCTATATTTTTTCAGTAAAAGATGATAAAGAGGGGGAGGCATAGTTTTTTTAGATCATAAATAGGAGACTAATATGTTAGAATTTTTGAGTGTCCTGCCTTGCTTTTTGGAGAAAATATATCAGACAATCATTTATTTCCAAGTATATATCAAAGTACCATTGTTTTTTAGAAAATTTTCGTTTTTATTATAAAGCAACTTTTCATTACTTTGGCAGAAACGTGTAAAAAATTAATAATTAGAGGGATGACTCATTGAATGAGCAGCAGTGTTAAAAACAATTTTTTTAAAAAAAATTATAGTTGAATTTAATTTTAAATATAAAAAAATAACCATCTTTATTATTGATTATAATTATTTATATTTAATTATTTTTTTAAATAATAAAAAATAAAAAAATATTTTAAATTAAAGGTATATTTAATTGATAAATAAAATAACCATAATAATACTAATAAATAATTATTGAAGGCAATATTTATTTATTTATGTAATAAAAAAAAGTACACTAAACTTTCATCTAGCATTGATTTTGACCTGATCGATAAAAGCGTTGGTAAGTTTCACACGTAGGAGCTTGTCCAATTCGTGTAGACCTTCTACGATTTTCATCAACATTTGTTGGCTGAGTAGAAGGTCTCACATCATTCCTTGGATCCATTAATTCAGCGACCATTTCATCATTTAATAAGTTCATTGTCGCCGCACTGCCATAATTTAATCTGGTTTCCACGTTATTCCAGTTTGATTGGGTAGTAGGTGACATTTAGTTATTCATGAAGGAGACTTAGGGTTGTTGGTCTTAGGATGAATTTTGGGTGAAGGTTTGTGAGTGATAAAAAGGGATTTTTGGTTGGGGTGTTTGGTAGTTGTGTTTTTGTGGGGTAGGTTGCGAGAATGAGTATTGGTTGTAGTGGGTGCTGGGGTGTTTGTGGTTGGATGTATGATGTTGAAAGGGTAAAAATTGGGTTTTGTTGTTGGGTGTTATAGGGCGTTGAGTTAAATGATGGGTATTCTTGATGTTGTTGTTGGCTTCATGTATAAGGTTATTGTGTTGGGTTGAAAGGTTGATGGGTGTTACATGTTAGTTGTTGGGTGTAAGTGCTGGTTGATGATCTGATGTGTTGGAAGTTTGAAGATGTGAGTTGATTACGAGGGTCAGCTAGTAATTTATTTTGTGATAGATATAAATTTGACACAAATCTATATCAATCCATGAATTCCCTAATGCCTCTTATAAGCAAGGATCCATCAACCAAGGTGAGCATTTGTATCAGTCAAATTGTGTTTGAACACAAATTTACTCCGTCATACCTATAAACATGAATTACAAGGAATCAAACAATTGAACAAGATGGAATTTGGAAAAATTCATACAACAAACTTCCACATTACTTGTTAACACTTAAGAAATTTGTTCCTGATACAATTGTAAAAATGGAGACACTACCCAAATATACATATGATGATACTATTATTGATGGTAACCAATTTTCCATCGATTATTTTGGACATTTCAAGCATGCATTAGAGGCTTTGCATATTGCAAGTCTATCCTTTAAATTGATGGAACCTGGTTGTATGGTAAATACAAGAGAATGCTACTTATGGAAGTAGCACAAGATGGGAACAACAATATTTTCCCAGTTGCCTTTGTCCTTGTAGAAGGTGAGATTGCAACTGGTTGGGGGTTCTTTCTACAGAACTTACGAAAACATGTGGCTCCTCAACCCGATTTGTCTTTAATATTAGAGAGACATGCATCGATTGAGAGTGCATATAACAATTCTGATAACGGATGGCAGGATCCACCACTGTGCATGACTACTGTATTAGACACATTGCTCAAAATTTCATGAGGAAAATAAAATACCAAACCCGCGAAAAAGTTATTAACATGGATAAGTATTTATTTGTTAACATGATATCTTAATCAATAAAAGATTATAACATTATAACACTTTTTTTTTGTAATATACAAGGTATGCTTTAAACCGACCAAAATATATTTTTGTAACATAGCCCTGGCACCACTGCCATCTTTAACTTGTACCCACATACGCTGGACATCATTGTTGTCTTCTGCAATAAAGATGTACGAAAAAAGTCGCTCAATACTTCTAATTCTTTCACCAATACATTGAATAATCAATTTATAAGAGAAGATCTACGTTTTAGATTAATTTAATAATTAATGTATCTGGACTGTATAATGGACCAAATATATTGATTATTCAATGGGGAGAATTTCTTAAGACACCCTATGTATTTCTTAGACGCCATACAGATTTCCAATACTACCCATAGTTTTCGGAGATATATCTCCAGATGCACCCTTTTCACACTCAAGGAAGGCCATTCTGGGTGACACCCTATGTAGTTGCTAAAGATTTATTCCGGAGATATAACTTTGGAACCATACCGTAGTTATATTTTCAGAACAAAACCAGAGACAGAAACCAATACAAGATGAACTTTCCAAACATGAAATGAGCATTCATAACATAAAATAAGCATTACAATGATGATTTCAACATAAAATTAAAGACTACATTTAAATATTTTGGTGGATGCTTGCACATCTCTAAGATATCGTCGACTGATCTTCGTAGTGCCGCTTCCAACTCGAGCGAAACTTTCTCTTCAAAACCGAAAAACGTTCGTCACATCGCCATAACATATGCTCGAGTCTTGGGCTCAAGTTTGCTGAACACAATGTTTCCATCGTTGTCAATCGAGGGTGAATGATACTCAAGCTTGATAACCCTTCACGTGTCTCCGTAAGGTAGGAGATAATTTATTTCGTCTATGATATCGTCGATGAGGGTGATATCGATGAGCTTGAATGTCCTACTGGGTGTAGATGCATCGGAGTATGAGACACTTGCGACATACCAATGAATGTTTATTTCACACATTTGAGACATTTTGAGTTTTTGTGAAGTATAACACAAGAACACCCAAGGTTAAATAAAGTAGTGTCGTACTATTCTACGAGTGTGACGAACTGTGGAGTGAAAATGTGCGGGTGCAATGGTGTGATGATTTCATACATGTGCAAGAACAAAAAGCATAAAGGTAGATTATTTTGGAGATGCCCGTATTGGAAAAACGAGGGTACTTACAATTTATTCATTTGAGATGATGAAATTGCACAAGGAAAGGATGATGAGGAATGTATAGATGCAGAATGAAGGAAAGATGAGAGTAAGGTGAGGGATATGCAAGCTTTAGAAACCTCGAAGGAGCTTTATGAATCATCCATGAAGAAGAACAAGAGGTTGAAGATGAAGATTAAGGCCGAGGCATTTTGGGGAAAGCTGAAGACAATTTGTGTTGTAGTTTTAGTCTTGGTCAACTTGTATTTGTTAATTAGGTGTAATTGTTGATTAGGTGTAATTGTCTGTAATGTTGTGTAAGTGGTAATGCTGTGTCATTGGTTTTGTTTGAAATGTAACCTGAACTGGTTTTGTAATGTTGAATTGGTATGAAATATAATTTGGTTTAATTCATTCTGTATTGTTCAATTGGTATGGTATGGTATTGTCTGTATTGTTCAGTTATGACCTTTAATATCACACAATGGTCCTCATGTTTTTCACACAATCTGACCTATAAATTGGACATGATATGAGCTATAAAATTTGTAGACAATGTGGCCTTAAAATTTGACCTATAAAATTTGCAGAAAATGTTCATCAAGGGACATATAATTTTGGCATGATATGAGCTATAATTTTCACACAAAATGATCTATAATTTTCACATTGAAACCATATGAACTAAATAGATTTCACCAGAATAGTATATTTACTTTGGCATAGCATAATGTGTTTAAAAGGCTACATCGGTACAAGACACTGAGCAAAACATTACATCAGTGCCCTTACATTAAAGAACTATGATTTGTTCAAAAAACTACATCAATACATTACATAGAGAAAAAGTACATTAGTGCATTACATCAAAATATTTGTTCCTAAACAGGTGCACTGAGCAAAATACTACTGCTTCATTGGGTTTAACCCTTGCCAATTGTGCTGTCTTATTTAGTTAGAACTAAAGGGTCATCAGGTTTCTTTCTAGGGCTAGGAATGTTCTTTGTTTTCAAGGTCCTCAACCTTTCACTATGCCTTTTTTCTGCTGCAACATTAGTCTGTGTCTTGTACTTGCTATGGGTTTTAAACTTATCTGGTTCACTTGAACTTGGCCTTGAAAGATTTATTCTAATACCAGGTGGTTTGAAAGGCTTGTTCTTGCACACTTTTGGTTGCGTACCAAAGAAAACCTTGACATTACTCTGCCTTGGCGCAACTTCCTTGAGAGGTGACTTGTCAACCCTTAAAGGTTGAATATCCAAGACATCATCACCC